CCCGGGCCGGGCCCGGCCGGGCCGAGCCAGCCCGACTCGGCCGGACTCGCGGCATCCTGTGCACTGGGGAGGCCCTCGGAGGGTCCGCGAAGCAAAGGCTCCTGCCAACTTCTCCGTCCTGCCCAGACTCAAGTCTGCTGTGATTTAAATAGGCAAATAGATCTACACCTACACAATAACTTAGCTTGTTTGGTCTTCGGTATTTTCTACAAGACTCCAAGAGATGGACTCTCTCCATCCTCCCTCTAGAACCCACATCCTCCATCTCTTTCTATGTAGGCCCTGTTATCCAGATCCTTGAGGTTCCAATGGGCTCTGAGTTACTGGGACGAGGATTACTTGGCTGAATCGCACCATTTAATTAGATTTTCTTTCTTTACCTTTTCTTTTAGAGAGGGCTTGGTTTAGCCCCCTCACTGAGGCGGAGTAGCCGGGACTAGGAAAGGAAAACCTTACAGCGACCCAGCTTCCAGCCCCTGGCAGAGATCTCCAGGCTCCGCAGAGCCAGTCAGGGCTCCCTTCCTCTCCTCGGCCTCTCCGCCGCCTCCTCCTCCTCCGGTTGCGCTTTCCTCCTCCCACTGTCTTCCTTTCTGCTTAATTAAAGTTCAGCGACTCCACTTGCCTCTCCTTGAGTTTCCCTCCGAAGGCGGAAACCAGACTGCCCAGCGGCCGAGCAGCCCCAACTCATCCCAGGCCCGCAGCCAGAGGGGCCTCCCCGCGCCCGCCTCCCAGTGCCGGCGACCTCGAATCCGGGCTCGGCCTCTCCACTGTCCAGCAGGTGTGCAGCCCCTTGGTGGCCAGAGCAGCAGCAAAGGAGAGCGCTCCTCTCTCCCGGTCCCTAGGTTTATGCCACAAAGTTTGGAGGGTGGGTACACCTCGACCCGGGCAAGTTGGTCCCCCAAACTCATGGCTGACAAATCTTATATGACAGAAGCCTGTGAAGGATTTGCTATATGTTAATTCACGGTGCCCTTTCCTCCAGAATTTAACTATAAGTTAATACACACCGGAAACCACGCGCATACACGCCCGTTAATGGGCTTAGGTATTAGCGAGTCCTAACGATGCATACAAATGTGCTCTGTGCTCTGTAGGCCCCTCAAGATTTATGGGCCTTGAGCTCTCTGAAGCTGTAAACAAGGAGAAAAAAGAGAAAGCGGGAGAGACTGGGGGAAAGAGACAGAGGCCTGAATCGCCCCTCCAGATTGTGGGAGAGAAGGGATTCTTATGTATTTTCCTTGCCTTGGGAGCTCGGTGCGTCTGGGTCTTGGCATTGGTCTGGGGGTGGTACGCTGCCTGAATGCTGGTGTGCATGGGCAGCGTGTGGCTTGTGTGCTGGGGTATGAGCGCTTCTGCTTTCTTTGAGTTACAGTGCTAGGGCCTAAACATAGCAGGCATTTGTGGACATATAGGTGTGTGTGCACTGTGTTAGGTGTGAGGGTCTTGCCTGCCCCACGCACGTGCGACGAGGAGGCCTCCCTCTGGGCCAGGCTGCTGTCCCCCAACCTGGTGAACAAATCTCTAACAGCAATCATAATAACAATAAATAACATAACAATAATAAAAACAGTTAACAGTCCCTCGTAGTAGGCTAACTATAAAATGCCAGGGGAGGCATTTTGAGGAGCCAGTGAAGGAGTCACCATCACAGAATCTAAAGGGAAGACTAGAGAGGAAGTTAGCTTCTTTAAATGCCTTTGAGGGGTTGGGGCTGGGAATCCCCTCCCCAGACTGGGTCCTTGGCCCACCCGAGGAGGGGAAAGCTAGGAGGCCACTTTTCTGAAGCTTTTTCTCTGCGTTTGATTCCGGCGATCAGGAAATGGGATAGGTAGCAGCTTTGGGGGCTCTCTGGGAACCCCTGTTTTAAAGAGGAGGCCAAAAGTGCCGGGTCAGGCAGAGGGGCAAAGAAGGATGGGGCGATGACCGCAGTCTCGCTCCTGGCTGCCGGGCGCGGAAGTGCCCGAGAGGATGCGCCGAGCCGCGGGCGGGCCGGGGAGAAGCAGAAAAATATTTATGGCCGCCCGCCCCGGAGAGAGGAGAGCGGGAGAGTGAGGCTGGGGCTCCTGCAAGTGAAAGTTCCCTTCCTGGAGTCTTTTTCAAAAAGAAAGGAGAGGTTGAGGCGCCTTGGATTTTCCTTCTGGAGAGTAGAGCCCAGCGGATATCTGTAAAGGAAGTGAAGACCGAGGTCCGGGTTTCTGCAGTGTCAGCCTCCTTCTCTCCAGGTACAGTTTTCTGATAATTTTATCAATTAATTTATTTGGGGAGGTGGGAGGCAGAGGTGTGGAGATACGTCGTTTGCGGGAGAAAAAGCCGCCCCACCGTTTCGGGTCTAACGAAATCTCTCCTTTAAAAAATTCGCAATAAAAAAACAAAAGAAAGAAAATATAATAACACAGAGCCAACTTTTTAAAAGAGAAAAAGAAAAGAAAGCGACCATCTCCAAGAGCACAAGATCTTATAAAAGATTTAATTCACGAGCCTTTTCAGAGGTTTGGATTCTTTTCCTACAGCGGTGACCCATTTGGTCTGAAAAGAAACGCAGATATACAGGACCCACTGAGTCACCTCTTTCCAACCCCGTACATAAAGATTCAGAGGGAGCGCCGTCGTGCACCTCATATTAGAGAGGAGAACACCACCACACGGAGGACACTACACTGCGATAACCAGGAGGACAAAATTGCAATAAAATAAAAATAAAACAGGGCGAAGCGCTGAGCGCAAGGAGAAGGCCCAGGCCTTGAGGTCCAGGCAGCGGTGGGCCGGCGAGGCAGCTGCCCTGGGTGGTGGGCGCCCGACACTGGAGACCGGGTGGGCCCGGTCATCCACCTCCCCAGCCGGCCCTCTGGCTCACTGTCTCAGCTGGAGTCTGGGCCAGCTTCCCCGGTGAAAGGATTTTGGGCCTAAGACTGGGCAAAGTGACTCAAGCTAGCTTCTGCCTTTTCAT